AAAAATACACCAGCCCTAAAGATGTACTTTTAAGATCATTTAATAGCAAGGGCTGGCAGAAGGGATGATCATCTACACCTCTTTCCCATCCTCGCTGAGCATTTCTGCCACGTGCACTTCTGACGGACTGGTAAGCAGTTCCAGGTGAGAGCCCAGCTGAAATCAAAGCAACTCAAGAAAACTGATCACTTTTCTGCTCTTCAAACTGCTCACTTCAGGCCCAGCTATGTGCCTATGCGTGTGCATGGGCTGTGGGAGGGGAGAAGAGGAAACACAACCAGGAGTGAGACCCTGCCTGGCTCCTCTTCACAATAGTAGAGCCCATAGCTGTTGTGTCAAACTCTACCTTAAACTTCCCAGGCAAAGACTTTTAAATGCCATTAATGTTTTTAAGGACTGAACCTGGGTCTCTTCAAAGAAGTCTGGTTTTCCTTTGGATGGGGTTTAGCACTGGTGGGGGTTCAGCTCTTCATGAGCCTCAGCCTGCACTGGTTGCTTCTGGAAACTATCAGCCTTGCATCTTGGGCTCTATTTCTTTAAGATGATTGTAATGTTCACACTTCCCTGGAGGACAGGTGTTCTTCAAAAGAGGCAATTTTTTAAATTTTTTTTTTTTGCTGAACTGTGACATTCTCAAGCTCTGCAGTACTGAAACGCGGAGGGGCTGGCGAGGATTTTTTGCTTACTGTTGTTAGGAAAGACAGTGTTTCATACAGATGGGATAAACATGCTTTCCTGCATATAGTGTTACCATCTGTGGCTTATTAGATGATTTCTACATGCATGGATCCGTGTTTTTCCAATGGATGTGCAGCAGTATTGGCGCAGCGCTCCTGGTATGGGGCTGTGTGGGAGCTGCCTTCCTTCTCTGCCCTGGCTGTAGCACAGGTGAAAACACTTCCAGCTCCCCCAGCTTGTGCAAGGTGGTGATTGAGCAGCCTTTCAGCTGGGGAGGGGGAGCAGAGGGGTGCCACCGCGGGCCCCACGCATCCCAGGTGTGCTCCAGGGCTGCTGGCGGAGGATGCTGCCATACAGGTCTGCAGGTAACAACAGCACAGACTCCCTGAGAAAGGGATTTATTTTCTTTTCTTCCCCTGTCCAAAAGCCACTCTCCCACGCTGGGGGAGATCAGAGTTACAGCAGGCACAGATGTTGAACCAGCTGGTTTCTTAAGGGATAAAATAATTGAGAATTTGCTGCCCTGAGCTCACAGTCACCAAAGATAAATCTCTTCGTCTTTCCCATTCCCCAGTGTCAGATATTTCCATCCTGGCTGTGAGAAGGAAAACTAGACATACAAGACCTCTCTGGGACACTGTATCTTTAAAAAGAGCACTTAAATATCATAAAGCAGCAGTTGTTATGGGAGTGCATGACATATAGGATTACTTTATTCCAGAGTTTCAAAAACTGTGGATGCTACTAGTCAACATGGAAATCTTGCCACCTCCATGGAGGCAGAAAAGGCTTCTGATCACTTTTCCTCCTTTCCCAAAGCATACAGAGAGCTGCATTAACAAATAAATAAATAACATCCAGGGGCCAGCAGTTTTGTGTTAGCCTAGATTAGCAAGCTTCAGGAAACAGGGGGAGGTGGCCTGTAACACTCTATGTTAACAGCAAATTACGAAATGTTTTGCTCTTAGAAATACACCCAGTGTCCTGCACACCAGGAACAAGCCCAATTTTCAGCAGGTCCTCCTAAAGCAACTGGAATCTCTCCACATTTGAGTCAAGTGAATGAATTTATGCTTCTGACATAAGACCTCAGAAAGGGTAGCTACCTCCGCAGGCCTTCCCTTGGCACAGGTGTCCTGCATCAGCCATCGCATGGTAGCTGTGAACTCTGGCTTCACCACCCAGGGTATAAAATGGAAGCCTTTGAGAAGGAGACTCTTTTCCTGTAAGCTACAGATGAGGTCTGGCAGCTGTTGGTAAGTAAAAACAAAACCAGCTCTTTAATTTCATATTAAGTTATCACTGAATCTCAAATGATTGTGCTTGATGGTCATACAATGTTCTTTTTGCTGTAAGAAAAGATCCTTGAGCAGAGGGAAAAAAAAAAAGAGTAAGATTGATATATGTCATGTAAGATGATATATGTAACGTTGCAGGTAAGGGTTTTCCCCTGTTAAATGGCAATTCCGGGTTATTTCTTCTTTAGTAAGCGTATTTGCATAGCAGAATAAGATGTAATAGCGCTCATGCTGAAAGGAGTAGTCTGAAATAATTGTTTTTGGTAACATTCCAAGTGCAGGCAAGCTGTAAAGAGCAGAGGGTGTAAGATGACTAGTAGCTTCTGTTGAACACTGAATCAGGAGGGACTATGGGTCAATGGTATCTGTTCTTGTTTTGAACATGATCCTTTCTTGATTGTTATGGTATGTGTGATGGTACCTGTGGTCTCTGGAGTAGCCCATAAATTTTAAAACAAAAGACATGTTTTGAACTAGGTCTGTCTTTATAGGTTACTTAACTGTGGTCTTATGTTTACTGGACTAGTAAAATTTGAGTTATAAGTAATTGTCATGGAGTGCTCTATCATTTAAAGAGTCAATAGATGGATAACTACACATCCTCTAGTATATAGGCTGTTGACAATACACATAACAGATCTTTCATTTGAGCCCGGATGAGCACTCGGGTAGGTTGTGCTATTTGCTGTTTAATGCATGTTTGTGTGACCTTTTAGGTATGCTTGGGATATGGGTTGCTTTTTTGGAAAAGCTTTTTTAAAACAAACAAACAAAAGAAAACCCAACAAACCCTCATGCTGTTTCATATTCTTTTGTGTTTTGTGGGATATATACTGTCTGTGCCTTATCCTTTCTCTGCCCTGTCTCAGGTGTGTGTTATCAATTGCTAATGGCTAGAAGGTCTTAGAGGGGTAGAAGATGATGAAAGTGGCTGTGTGTCCCAGTTTAGCTGTGTCCAATTACCTAATTGGAAAGTAGCTAAAGACCTGGAACAGGCTCCCTAGAGGGGTGGTTGATGCCCCGTGCCTGGCAGTGTTTAGGAGGCTTTTGGACAATGCCCTTTAAGAGCATGGTTTAATTTTTAGCCAGCCCTGAAGTGGTCAGGCAGTTGGACTAGATGGTGGTTATACGTCCCTTCCAACTGGAATTATTCTCTTCTCCCTTTCAGGCCTTTTCTTGTGGCTGTGGCAGCACAGGGAAGTGGCGCATACAGGGATAGCTGTGTTCAGGTGAAGTCTGCTGCCTTTATTTCTTTTGGTTTGGCAAGTTGTTGTGAGTGGTGGGCATCAGTCGGAGTCTGTGGATTGGAAAATAAGCGAATTTTGTAATGAAATCTCTGTTTCAGCAGAACTCTGCTAGCTGTATGCAAACAGGAAAACATGAACATTTCTGTAGTGTGCCTTTGTATCTAAAAACATGTGCGGGTAATTATGGATTTGCCTTGCATTGTAGAAGTGATCCTTGACTGGACTTAAGGCTGAAGAGTTGTCTTAAGTCTCTCTCTTCCATTCTGTTTCTCTACTCTGTAAGAATATTCTAATTCCCCGCTCGCAGTTTACAAACTGTAGTATCTTAGCAGGCTGATGCAGGGCAAGTGTCCACACCCTGACCTACCTGGGCTATAACTGGAAGGAAGGAGGAGAGTCAGAAGGGCTTTAGAGGGGAGCACGGGGCAACATCAGCAGAAATTAAGTTGCATTTCAGTGCAAGGAGGGAGAACCTGTATTCATTTTAACTGCAGAAAATCTTTAATCCTTAGGTCGGGTTGCTCCCTAGTTAAAAGGCAGATAGATATTGTTGTAAGGTTATTTAATTTGAAGCGGAAAAATTCTTATTGAATCACTGTCCAGTTGATAAAGGTAGTTTTTTTTTCTTTTCCTGTTTGGCTTGAGACACAACCTACAACAACCTGTAAACCAGAACCAAGTATTACTGAATGATCAAACTTGGAAATCTACTTTTTTTTTTATTTGACAATCATTCGCTTTATTATATATACATATTTAAAGTCTGTACATGGTAAAATACAAAATAAAAGTGTTTCTTTATAAGTTACACAATTAAACAGCTACATTTGTCTGTAGTTTAGCCATCATTTAATTAAAAAAAGGAAAGAAATCTTGTTGAGCCATTGTTATATTCATTCACAATAACCTTGGTATAAAACATCCATACAGAGTAAGTGTACAAAATAGTGTACAGTTCATATAAGCTGTGCAAAGACAGCAAAGTTCAGTCAAAAATCAAAGAGGCATATCCACCTTCCTCTGTCCACATCATGGATAGCAGAAGCAAAGTGGAAAATAAGCACAGGCCTGTGGGCAAAAAGGTGGGTTAGGCAGTGCTTCCAATATACTATTGATGCATAAATTAAAATGAAAAAACATATAAATATATAAGGCCTCCATTACCCAAGGCACACTTACATTATACCTTAGAAGTCGTTCCAGGGGTTTCAATGGGTCTGTTGCACAAGTGTCATGCTATTCGGGGTGAGGAGGGAGGCAGCGTCTGATCTGTGTCCCTCAATAAGGTTGTTTATTTTTGGAGGAAAGGGTAGCTGGATCAGACCAGTCTTAAGGGTTTTGAAATCTTAATAGTAGCTGGAAATTCACTTGAAAGGTAGTAAAAATGGCCATAGCATCTATATTGTATTTTTTGTTGTTTCTTATCTGGGGGAAAAAAGTTTCCCTTTTAACAGGCTATACTTTCCTCCCTGCTATAAGGCAAGGAGCTGCCTGTTGCTTGCTTTCAGAAGGCGGCAGCTAACTGAGCAAATGTTGATTGTTAAGCAGAGAGAGCTATGAAAAGGTTAGCAGATGCTATGAATATGAAAACCGCCACATGGGGCAAAAAAATAAGGAATACCTATAAGTAGAAAGTCTTGCAGCTATGTGATAAAGAACCTGCACTGGAGAAGTATGTGGACGTTTGGGTGGGACATCACCTCTTCAATTTATAGCACTCTGTTTTATTTACATCTTTGCAATGTCCCCATGTGATGGTAGGGGCAGGCAGGGTGATCTAAGAGACTGTTATCTCCTCCTCTTCCTCTTCCCCTTCATCATCTTCTTCCTCTGAGTCTGAGAAGTCTGAAGGTTTGCTGGGGCTGCTAGAATGGGATGGAGAAGGAGACATCTGGGAGTCCAGTCTGTCCCTCAAATGTAGATGTTCTGGGGACTGGTGGTAGGTTAAGGGATGCCGGGGGCTGGGTGGGCACACGGGGGGAACTTCCTCCTCCTCCTCCTCTCCTGAGCATTTCTTGCCTACATCACTGAGGTCTGGGTGAGGGTTGAACTTGGTGGGTAGGGTCTGTTCTCTGCAGCCACCAGATGAGAGGAGCTCTCTTTCTTTGGAGTTCCTCCACTTCATCCTCCTGTTCTGGAACCAGATCTTCACCTGAGGTGGGGGGAAGCAACACAGAAATGAAATGGTTCAGTAAAACAGGGACCAGGGAAGGCCTTTTGGTTGCACTTGCAAAACCCTGCTCATGCCCATACTGAAGCTCACAGGGACCAGGAAAAGCCTTTTGGTTGCACCCTTGAAACCCTGCTCATGCCCATACTGAAGCTAACAGGAACCACAGATCCTGACCTTTGGGGACCCTACGAGAGGGGCTGGGGGGCAATAAGGCCATCGTCTATCCTGTCCTACTCACCCAGTCATGCTGCTCTCTTGGCTCCCTTGATGCTCATGGCCCTGTAGCTTGCTTTGGGCTTCCTCCTGGTGGTGGGCAGCTCTCCCTGCTCCTGTCCTCTTTTCCTCCCTTACCCTCAAGCTGAGCTGAGGGGTGGGGGGCTCAGCTCCCCACACCCCTCTGCCCTCCCCACCCTGTGCCCCTTCTCACCTGTGAGTCCTTGAGGCCCAGCTTGGCTGCCAACTTCTTCCTGTCGGGTTTGCTGATGTACTTCTGCTTCTGGAACATCTTCTCCAGCGCCTTGCGCTGCACGTCGGAGAAGACGGCACGGCGCAGCATGCCACGGCGGGGCTTGCCGCGGGCAGCCAGCGGCCAGGAGAAGGTGCCTGGGATGGGGACCACGGTGGAGGTGGCTGTGGGGGACACACACAGGGCTGAGCAGAGTGGGACTGGCCCCCGCTGCCCCCCTCCCTGCCCTTCGGGTGGGCACCCATCAACCTGGGGCCGTGAAAAGGAGCTTTAGGCTTAACTAAGCACCCCCCTTTCAGCCAGTGATCACTGGGATTAGATCTATCAACTCAAACGTGTAAAATGGATCAATAGTGGCCGGTTTTGTTGGGAGATTCAAAGGTCTCCGGCCTGAAAAGGCAAAGCGAGGCGTACCGGCTAAGATAGAGGTATAATAAAAAAGCTTTCCCTCCCGCTCAGAAGCATTGGATTTTTTTCAGACGCTTTTATCATTTCAGACGCTTTATTATGCTCGAGATGAAAATGAGGACTTTTCTGATTCCGAACAAAACCGCTTCTCTTCAGATGCAGTTTTGATCAATCAGTATTCATCTTTTTATATTAATCTCTCCCCCCCCCAAAGTTGGAGGGTTGAATCCGAAAACATGAAAAGTAACAGCTAATTAGCACATCGCCTGGTTCCCAATGGCATTGGTATGATAAAAAGGGCAGAGTTTCGCCTTAAAAAAAAAAAAAAGGGGGGGGGGGGGGGAACCTCCCCAAGAGAGACAGAGATGCTAATGAAGCGTGAATGGTAATTGTGTAGTAATGAACTAACAGAAAAAGACTGAGGACAAGCAGCTAACGCCATATATTATTGGAACAAAAGAGATTTACACTTTCAAACTAAACACAACGGCATGCCAGGCTCCTCGGGAGAATACTGATGGCACAATCGTCTCTTTCCCCAAATCATTTTCATTAAATGGACATGAAAAGCTATTTATAAAGCTCAAGTTGTTTTTGTTAGGCCATTCACATGCTGGAGAAAGGAAGCAAATTCCATTATCCGGAGGATGAATGGAAGAGCTTGGGTTATTTTTTTTTCCTCTCTCCCTTTCCCTGTTTTCTTTTTAAATTAATAGCTTGTTTGTGTAATTAGATTTCTTTTTTTTTTAATTGTTCTCTCTGCATCATAACGCTTCAGCGCTGTAAGAATCATCCCCTCGCAGCCTGCTTTCTCCCCCAGACCATGTCGTTTGAATCCCACTGACGGTCTCGCCGAGTAAGCGATGGCAGTGGGACAGACCCAAGGAGAAGGAGGGGAGGGTCGGTACGCGGTGGAGGAGGGAAATCCCGGCCCTGCCCGCGGTGCGCTCGATCCTCCAGAGACCCGGCGGGGGAGGAAAGGTTTATTTTTTTTGGGGGGGGGG